CGTCTATCTGCTCTTGGGGACTCAGTTAAACCGTCTTTTTCCAACCTTTCAAGCTTCCTATTTGCATCTGAAGGACCCGCGATAAGTGAACATTTCTCAAAACCTGAGATGTCCTATTCACCCGAAGTTTGCGAATATCGGTTTACAATTAGTTCATCGCCTAGCACTAGGGCCTTTACCGCTTTTCCAGCCTCGTTGTCATAAAAGTACTTTACTGTACAATTAATGTTTGCAGTAATGTCCAGTAAAATAAGTCTTTAAAATTGACTGTTCCTACACCGACACTACAGTGTACTTAAATAAACCGTTGCTTGTAGGAATGATCAGAGCCGTTCTGAGAGGTTACAGCAGATCGCCTTCTCAAGCAATGCGAAGAAATCAACGGGAATGGCCGATGTTTTGGTGCCCAGCAATGTACATGTTCCAATCATCGTTACTGCCTGTGCCGAAGAAATTGAGCGCAGAGGTCTGACAGAGGAGGGCATCTACCGGATCACCGGAAGCTTATCCTCGGTGAATTACCTCAAGGAGCAGTTTAATCGAGGTGCGTTTTTACTTCTTAAGAAAACTCTGAACAGGAGTTTGATTTCGGAAAACTCGAAACGTTCAGAATTCTTCAGGCCTACCGTGTTTACTTTAGGTAGTGCTTGCAAAATTTTATCAGTGAACTACTAGAAGCAATGCGCAGGGTTTTAATAGAATGTCTAGTATTACACTAAAGTTGGTACCGGTTGACCTAATTACCGTTTTCGGTGAAGTTTTTTTATCGGCAATTTAATAACAATTTCCATCGCCTGTTGACGAAGCTTTAAAACCAGGAATTTTTCGTGTCCTTTCGCGTGAGATAATCCAATCAAGCTGTTTGTCAAGATGAATCGATAATATCCGAAGTACGAATATAGAATGCTCTCTTGGCCCCGTCCGTCAAATTAGTCTGCTAACTAGTGTCTCACAAATCAAATGGTTTTGGCCCTTTACTTACATGTTTTATCAGGATATTTAGTTTAATTAAACATCCCTTTTTCGCTTGCTTAACCGAAAGGACAAACATCTCTCAATACCTTTAAGTAACAAGATTTTTTTCGCTCTTCTCCTGGTATGCAGACTTGGACACGGCCGTAAAGCACGTGGCTGACTACGACGTCAACGTCTTATCAAGCATCCTGAAATCATTCTTCCGTGAGCTGCCAGAACCCCTAATAAAATGGGAGGAATTCATAGCTTTTTTTAATGCACTAGGTAAGAAATTAGTATCTTTTTTATCGTAAAACGTGTAAAATTTAGAATAAGTTTTTATCTTACTTGGATTATATGCTTTTATAATCTCCAGCAAATTATTTTGGCGCAAGTAGTTACGAAGGGCCTGAAGCGGGTGAATCCTCAAGTTATAAATTTATATCTGGGCGATGTGATGACTGATCAATATTGAAACATTTTCACAATATATCGTCTTATTAGTGTTTCTTTTTTGCAAATAAAAACAAACGAGGTATTATTTTGAGATCAAATTCATAAATGTGACAGGGGAAAAATATAAAGCCAATAGAAAGTGCAATCCTAAAACATCACCCTCATAACAGGCCTCCTTGGGATTGCTTTTCGCTCCCTCCAAATTATTTAGTTTTTTTACTGAGCTCGGTAGTTGTCAAAATAATCTGACTTTTAGAAAGCATGTTCTAGATCAAAAGTATTTCCTCGGCCTTTATGTCGGCTGTGTGTCCTGATATGAACTTCACACCGTTAATGGCTTAAAAGAGCCATTTATAATTGTCCACTAGGCATTTCTTGTTTATGCATCTTCCTTTAGTACATGTCGTCTACCGCATTTTCACATCATGATCTATTCTCTTGTCATCAGATTTTGCAAGGCTAATTCTTTTTACCAAACAAATTTAAACATATGAGTTTCTTCTGAGGGCTATGTCCTCTTTCGTATAATGTAAAACAAAGCAGACTGTGAAGCCATTATTTTTTTTCTAGAGATTGAGGACGACGACGAGAGAATCAGCATGTTGAACCATACGCTCGTGTCTCTGCCGAAACCACGACGGGATACATTTCAGTACTTGCTGTGTCATTTGGTTCGGTAATTCACTCTTCACCTCATACCTATATGTCCCATAATGCGTATCGCGCATGAAAATGTATCAGTAAAAAGCAAGTTTAAGTCCTTTTTTGACTTTTTGGATTTCAACATTGTCACCTTCAGAAGACCGTTCATATACCCATGCATATTTTTCTCCTAGTGTGTTTAACCTTCCATCCGGCTAGGATGACATTCCGGATACGCATATTATTTGATAAAATTGGCATATGTCGCCTTAAGCGCTTACACACATTTCGCTTCCGACGCACTACAGGTCTTGTGCTCACAGTTCTCGAACCGCGCGCCGATGCATACAGAGAGCCACTTGGAACAGCCAATCAGAGCGGCCCACAAACTGCTCATCCAATCAATTGATCAAGCGATCACTGGCTGACTCACCTATAACACTTATTCCCTTAGGCTGTCAACACCCTAGAAGGCAGAAAGACGCGTGCGCTGACTCGGAGCTTGCTGCGCCTTGGGGCTGCTGACCACCACTGCGTTTCTGGACATAATGCACGACATCTACTGGTGCCTTTCCTCATCTCCTCCAAAGCGAAACTGGGCCTGATGATTGTAGTGGTCCGAGTACAAACACTACTTATATACTACGAACAATGCCAGCTATTTAAGGGACCCCACACAGTACAGTAGGATGCTGTCAACGTATTCAACTGCACCGAGATGTTCAACGTCTGCACTGAAAACGTGCACTTATAACTGTTTACATGCCTCGGGTTAATAAAATTACCAAATTCTATGACACAACATTTTAAAATGCCTTGCGACTTAACGATGCATTTTGTAGATCAAGAGAGGTTGATGTTCTGTCCAAAACAATTCTGCCAGCGTGGTGATTCTCGAGATACTATTGCGAAGTCCCAATATCGATGCAAAAGGGAAACGGAAGGTCTATTTGAGCGCAGTAAAAGACAACTTTTCCTTAGTATGTTAGCGCCGATTTCCACGAAGGGCCTCCGGATAAACCTATTGTCGTTTAAATCCTTTATCACTGCGATTGATGCTTTAGCCAAACGTATATTTTACATTCGGTTTAAGAGCTCAATTAGAGAATTATTTCGAAACAGGTTCTTTCGTAGTGACATGAACTTCTATAGTCGGGATACTGTTAATTGAGAATGCGAAGTAGGATAGCAGTATGTTCTTGGACATATTTGTGTTGCACGTTTGCATGAGACTAGCCAAACAATTTTTATGCATGGTGAGCAAACAAATGTAGCTAACTACAGTCAAGTTTACAGTTTATAATTGTTCAGCTTAAATAAAGCAAGTATTCTCTCTCACTTCTCTCTCAAGCAGTGTGCATTACAGGAAAATTTAATAAATTACAGTGAGGATCTGGTAACAATGTATGACCAAGATTCGCTCTATAATTAAACAGAAAAACCAAACAAAAGTCCTAGTAATATAATTAGCTAAGACCTGCTTCCGTATTGTCTTACTTTCGTCAAAATAGTTTCCGTTTGTAAAGGTTTCTTACATTTACACACTTATCTACAAAATCGTGCGTTCTCTTATCGAGTGTGGCATGCGTTTCTTAAATAGTCAGAACCGGGGTTTACTTAAGCACACCTCATTGTTAAGTGGGAATAGCAGACGTTTTCTTTGTCAGAAGAACGTTCTTTATTCGATCATGTTTGACATATTGTTGCAGTTCATAATCGAGTAACTTCCGCTTAAGATATCTAACGCGAATACAATGGCTCCTATTTGTGCTTGGTTTTTCTGATCAGTTGATATTTTTTATTATGGAATTATACGTAGAATAGGTGTTATAACTCATGAATTGTTTACCGAAATTTTGAAATGCGTTTTTGATTTGGAAAAATTACCTTAATGGGTATTTGCTAAAGGCAATCTAGCGGTATAATGTCAAGAGACATCTGTCTCGATATAATGCCTGTAATTTTTAAAGTTTAAGCTGTAAGTTGTAGGTTTTTTATTTCATTTAGTTCAAAAGCATTAAAAGTCCTGGTTGTCTGTATTTTAGTGTCAGCGAATATGAATCATCCAATAAGATGAGCTTGAACAACTTGGCAATGATATGGGCAATGACGTTGTTCCAGCCGGCTCCCGAGGTGCCGGAAGGCGAAGGTACGTTGAACACGCCGAATATGTTATCGATGGCCTCTGTGAGCGCAGCACAAACAAGACTATTCCTTCAGCTACTCCAGGCGGCCGCAGAAGGGACATTGTCTGTAACCTCAACTGACTTCTAACAAGACGCCACCCTTCTCTTTCAATTGGAGAATTGTATTCCTCTACTTGTCCACGCCTCGATGTCTCAGCCCGTTTTTGGGCCAGCTATTCATATCGTTATTATCTCCGGTTCCATAGTACTCCTTGAGCCGCTGCAGTTTGTGAAATTACTTTTATAATTGAATGGGATATTTTTACGGTCTTTTGTACTTCATTTGAATGTGACTATAAAGTTTACTTTTCTTGATACGCCACATGACCCAGAGGGATTCCGTCTAAAAAGGAAGCCACAAATGTGAGTAAAAACCACCAGTATATCCTATTTAATGATTGCAGATCGAAGATGAAGGCATATTTAAATTTGCTGAGCTGACGGTGCGCTTTTTATACATTGAGCACTTCAGAAAACGCCCTCTTAGCGAAAGATCGGTACTTCCGGAACATCGTAACATATGGTTTATTTAAGCGCCAGATGACCTAATTGGTTGGTAAAAGTAACCTTTACTTACTAGGGCAATCATGTGGTTAGAGGCATTTTAGACACGTAGGCGAGCAGAGGGCTGGATTGCGTTTTTATCTAATTATAAAAGTCGAAATTTGGAACATGAGATGATAATTAGCGGCAGCCAGTAATAATGAGGAACATGGGGGAGGAAGAAATCCGAAAGAAGCGGTTTCTGGGGCACATGAGTGGAGGGAGGCATCGGAGGAGTGCATGCAATTCACAGGTTCGGTGGCCTCGTGGGTATTTA